GTTTGTCGACAACCAGCCATGGTGTTGAGAACAGTGAGTCTTCTGCTGTGAACTGGGGGTGAGCTCCTTCAGCCTTAGGCCCCTAGGGACTGTGAAGTAATGCCCCTTGAGGCCATAGTCACCTCTCGCTCAGGCATTTCCCATGGGGCTAGGCAGGGCTGAACTTAGCAGCTGAAATGTTCATGTTGTTCTGACACAAACTGATTGATGTCTTCTCCCTGTACATTTGCTTTTTCTAACTCATTGTAGGACTTTACACTGACTTTTTTCTCAGTTTTATCAGTTCTGGCCCCCTGATGTAATTTTGAATTCTGATTCTGTCAGCGTAGACATTTACTATATCCCTTCTCTGTTCACCTCTTTGATAAGCCCCAGTTCCTCTGGATTTAAGACTTTAATAAAAATATGGGACAGGATAGGGCTCAAGACAGCAAATGATCCATAGTCAGTGCCCCCTGCCTTAGTCATTTGCCAGTTCCCACACCTACTTCCTGGGCCCCATGGACACCATAGGCTGACTTCCAGGTGCCTGGTTTAAATTCACATTTACCACATTTCTTCATCTGGTGATAGCTGGGCAAAGTCAGTTAGCAGAGTATAGAAACCAGGTAAGCAGCCCTTTTTTTTTTTCCTTCCATCTTTCTTCCCTTCTGGCCTCCTTTCTACTCTAGTATCATGAACACTGGATTCTTGAGGAATTGCTTGCCCTCTTATGTTTTCTGAACTGAGAATGCTTTTGTTACTGTACTAATAACAACCCTGGGCATTTATGTCATATCTACCTTCCAAAGCACTTTCACATTCACTATCACGTTTTATCTGAAAGTGGGCATGGCAGCTCAGAGAGTGACTTGCCCATAGAAAGGAAGTCAACAGCAAGCCCAGGGTAGAGGCTGGTGCTGAGTCCCCATTAGAGCTCAGTGGAGCAGGGTGGAAGTTGGAAGGAGCAAGCGGAGGGATTATTTGGCATTTCTGAACTAGGCAGAAAAGAGAATGAAGCTGCAATACCAAGAGATAGCCTGGGGATGACTGCAGAACTCTTGACCTGCTCTTTCTAATCTCCCTGAAGGTTCTGAAACTGACAGAACAGTTGTGACATTACATTCTGGGCCTGAATTTTCCTAAGAGAAAACTAGATCATTTTTTAAAGTCCCATCTAACTTTAACCATTCCAAAAATCTCTGAATCTAAACCAGGCTCTGTCCCCCTCACACCCCTTCCCAACCCAACTAGAAAATGTGGGTGGATTGAGAAAGAACAGAAAGGAAAGATCAAAACTGTGACAACCCTCTGACAACATTTTAACTTGAAAATTGCCTCTGTGTAGGCAGATGTAAATCAGGCGCACATTTACTCAGCTGCTTCTTGTTCTTATCTCCCACTGAACACCTTGAAATTACGAGCCCTGGAGTTGACCGCTGGCCTTTAAAAGTCTAACACGATTTCAACTGCCTGCTTCCCCAATTGGATGAAACTTGTTCCTCCCCTGAACTCCCGGAGCTTGTGTCCCACTCATGGCCCTTACCTCCTGCTGCCCTGAAAGGCTGCATCTAGCTTAGTTTCCTTAGTTGGTTGTTGGCTCCCTGTGCACCTCTGCGTCTGCCTCCCAGGCTCAGCATTCATCAGTAGGTGCTCATTAAGTGGTTGAGAAGGGAGCATAGAGTCAGGAAATGGAGTTCAAGTTCTAGCCTGCTCTGTCCTAACCGAGCTCTTGCTGAGAACTTAGCTGGTCATTAGGTGCTAGTCTGATGGCTGATTCTGCAAAATCACACACACGTGCACACACACACACACACACACACACACACACACACTTCCTTTGGGCAAGGCAAAGAACTGTGGATGATTCCATGCAAAGTCTTTTCCATTGGTGGGAGAAAATCCCTCCGTCAGAGGACACTGGGTCAGTCTTACCTGTCACTTGCCCAGCCTCATACTGACGACACCCTCCACCTGGACTCTCTCTGCATCCAGCCCTTCTCCAAGCCTGACTGGTGGGAGGGCAGGGGGGCTTAGGGGGAAGCCCTACTGAGGTGCTCTTTCTCCTCCTCTGGCAAAAGAAAGGTCAGAGCAGAGCATCTAGAACGGTACTTCCATACCTAAGCTCTGTGTTCTGTGTGTCCATCCCTCTCCTTTGAGGTTGTCTGAGTCATCTGACATTCTCCTGCCCCCTCCTGGCTCTGCAACCTGACAGGGGCTGTCCCAACAGTGACAGTTACTGCTAATGATGAGTGACAGCTGCAGTGAGGGGTGCCTAGGAACAGAGGAGGGGCTGGTGTGGGGAGTGGGGAGAGGTGATAATCGGACACTCTTATAGAGCACTGTCCACTTTTCAAAGTAAGTAAAGGCCTGGGAGGGAGTGGTTTGTCTTACAGCAAACCTCAGTCCCCACCTATGTAACCTCTTGCATCTCAGAGGGGTGTCACCAGGCTCAGACAGCACTTGGACCCAGCACAGGATCTCAGGGTGGTGCCCACTGGAGTGGCCATGCCTGGTGCTATATGGCATGACAGGATAGGAGCTGCATTCTAGGCACAGAGTGCCATCCTGACACCTTGTTCCTTCAGCCCCAAGCATGGGGGCAGGTATTTCCCACTCCCTGGGCAATTGGCTTCTGAGAGTCCCTGGTTCCTGTTTCCCCACCACAGTTGAAAAGAAGGCCATGGTCCCAGCTCTGGGATGCTGGATTGCAGCTCTGGGATGTCACATCCCAGCCAAGTATCCAGGGGGCATCATCATTCATTTCCTCTTACTCTTCATTTCCTCTTACAGCTCTCCAGGCTGCCCCTTATCCCTGCCCTGCTGTGATTTGTCACTGGAGCTTGCCCCTTGTCAGCACACCTAGAATTGAGGCTCTGCCTCAATTCTCAAGCAGTTCTCTGGAGTCCAGAGCATTTTGTGTGAGGTCTCCCAGAGGAAAGGACTTTAATACAAATGGAGAGAGCCACAAAGGTAGGGTTTTAAGCAGAGTGGTAAGTGGAGGAAGGAAAGAGGAACCTTCCAGAGAGCCTGTCTCTCATGAGGGCCAGTGATGATGAGCCAGAACCCTGCCTGAACCAGGCTTCTGCCCATAGCCTTCTCTGGGACCCCTAGCCCTTCCTGCCATGGAGAGGGCTGGGGCCATCACAAGAATAGGTTCTGTGATGGGATCCTTGTGCTCAGGATCCTTGTGTCTGAATGAAGCATGCCATCTACCCATAGCCCTTTGGGCAGAGCACTGATTAGGCAGAAGGGCCCTTGGACAGAGCTGTAGGGCTCAGAGAAGCCCTGGTAGTACCCCCAGCAGCCTGGCCCAGGGCAGACACACATCTGCACTCCACAAGGCTGGGCCAGGCTTCACATCTACCTTCTGCTGCTGTGGGCACCTACTTTGGTTGAAAAAGGCTTTTCCGATGTGTATGTCTGCATGTGCACACATGTATTCTCTATGGTCAGGGAGTGACACATGTATCTGTTCATGTCTCCACATGTGCTCTTATACTCTAGGCATGACTCACAGTGGGAGCCTGCATGGGGTGGTATGGAGGTGGGATACTGGGCCCTATGGGGACCCGAGGAGGTCAAATTGTCTGGGCTCTGGAGATCACTTGTACCTGGGAGCTCTTCCTGAGCCTCTGTTCCTGTCCCTCCCCAGCCCTAAAGCCTGCACCCATGTAGTTCAGCACCCAAAGCTCAGTTCCCAAGAAGCCTCAGTAAAGACAGGAGAGATAGTGTTTTTCCTTCTCTACCTTTATGGTTCTCTTTCTGGCCTCTTCCCACCAACTGGTCATGAGGACCAACAGCATCCATGCTCCTGGTCTCTTAGGCACAGCCCAGGTCACTGATCCACCCTCAGCCCATAGCATAGACCAAAGTGTGTAGGAGAGAGGAGGCATGTCCAAGCTGGCATGGACAAGGATGGGCTTGTGCATCTATTTCAGTGCTGCTTAGCCCTGGCTGTCCATAAGAATCCTTAGGGAACTAGTGCTGCCTGGATCCACTCAGTATGTCTGGGGCAAGGGGTCAGGCTTTTGTGCTTTTCAAAGTGCCTTAAGTGTCTCTTCTGGGCAGCCAGTCTAGAGGACCTCTGATTGATGTAACAGTAAATAGCTAAGCAAATCTGTGTTGGTTTAGGAATACTTACATATGCAGTGTGTACTTATAAGTATACTTATAAAAGTATAAAGATGTGCAGTGGAACAAAATGAAATCCTAGGAAAGTGATTGTTTCCAGGTATAGGCAGCAGGGTAATGAAATGGGGAGGGATCAGATGCTTCCACTGTAGTTGTAATGTTTCATTTCTTGAGCAGAGTGGTGGGAACCTGGTATCATTTCATACTTTTTGCTTTGGTTGAAATAGTTCATCATAAGAGCATGAATTTCATAGTCAAACCTGGGTTTTTAAGTTCATTTCTGCTACTTACTAGCTGTGTGACCTGGAGCAAGTACTTATCTGTTCAAAAGAAGTTGTTTAGTCATCTGTAAAATGGGGCTCCCAGGGCTGTGTGAGGATTACCTGTGAAGTTCTAACACTCCTTATAGGTTTCTTCACTGGGAATAGGAGGTGGGGTAACTCCAGGGGAAGGCAGTTGAGCCTTTCCAGATCCCTTTGTGGCCTCTCAGCTAAGGGGTAGAGCAGGGCGTGGGGGAGAGTAGGGCACTGCTCTCAGTGGACAATGTGGGAGGGAGGAGCCACACCCCACACTGAGGAAATGCCTAGGGATAGAAGGGTCCCTCTCTAGAGGGAGAGCAGCTGGGGAAAGAGTCCTTCCTCCCACAGCCCCTCTCTCACAGGAACACAGGTCTGGGGGCTGCTCGTGGGCATTTAGATTCTGGTGCATCCAGATAGCCTTTTCCCTTGGAAGATGGGAGGCTGTGGAGGCATCCCCAGGCAGGCAGACTGTCTGTCTGCACAGATGCACATACTCTCTCACACATGCAATACACACCCATATATGTGTGTGCCAGGCCTGGCTATGGAATGGGGAAAGGAACTCAGACACCATTCTCATTGGACAAGTTTAAAACACAACATGGCTCATTTTTATTTTATCTCAGAAAAAAACATTCCCTTCAGAAGGAAAGGCAGTTAGATAGGGCCTCTAACTGGGCAGCTCTGAGCTACCCAGGCACACGCCATGGTGGGCCAGTCCCCACCTCCTCCCTTAAGCCCACAGTCTGACACCATTCCATTACAACTCCCTGTCCTTGAGCCCAGCTCTGTGGCCTTAAGAAATGGCCCTGGGACTGATGGGGTAAGAAGTGCATGGCAGCTCATGGCAGCCAGTGAGAGCTGCCTGGGACTCCCTGGGCTGACCTCTGAGGCCAGGTTAGCAGCAAGACCAACAACAGACCCAGCAACCAGGGAAGGAAGATGATTTAAAAAAAAAAAAAAAAAGAAAAGGGATTTCTTCAGGTTTAACATTTTCTCCTGGAAAAAACAAAAACAAAAACACGCCATCTCTGGGCACAGCAGCTCCTGAACCCTTGGAAAGTCTCGGGAGGGTGGTGTGTATGTGATTAGGGGGGTCTGTTGTAGCCACCCCCAGCCTTAGGGCTAGCCAGCCTGCTCTGCCACAGCTGCTCTGTGAAGTTAGGGTGGTATTTCTAGATGCTTCGAGTGGGGTACTGGGCCCTGCCCAGCCAAGATGTTCTGATGCCGTGGCCCTGACCTGATGCAGGGCCTCCCAACATGAAATGTCTGCTTCCTCGGACTCCAAACCCTTCCTGCTGGGCCTCATGCTGCTCCAGCCAGGGTACTCTCCTCTCAGTCCAAAGTGGGAACTGGCCACAAGAAGGGTCTCCAGGCACATTCATTCTTCTCCCAACGTGACTGGTTCCATCCACCAAAGAGAAAGATTTCCTTCCTGGAGGAAAGGGCAAACTCAGTGGATCATCAGGACACTCCTGCTCCATCCTGGGCCAGGGGTCCCTCAAGGCCAGGGGACTCTGGGCATGCTCCCTTGAGCTCATGGCTGAGGAGCTCCACATCTGGGAGGGCCATGTCCCCATGGGACTCGTGGGCACTCCCTCCACTCACCAACCCCAGGGCATAGCCATTGGGCCGCCGCTCAGGATGGGGGGCACTGCCATTGGCCCACACCCCAGGAGGATGACCATTGAGGCGAAGGCTGATCTGCTCTCCATCACTGCCATGAGCTGCCAAGGCCCGGGCACTGGTGCCGCCTGCCTTGAAGGGCTCCCGTCGCCTCAGGATATGGCTGCGAATGATCTTGCGGAAGGTCTGGCGGAACTCACGGATGCGGTAGGCATAGATGAAGGGATTCACAACGGAATTGGTGTGGGAGAGGATGATGGTCAGGTACATGAGCCAGAGCGGGGCATGGTTACACTCTGGGCAGAAGAAGGTAAAGCAGTTGATGATGTGCAGGGGAAGCCAGCAGAGGGCAAAGAGCCCCACAATGATGGCCAGCGACTTGGCAGCATGGACCTCCTTCTGCAGCGTGGACCGAGTCCGCTCCCCCGGCAGAGGCTGGCTCTCCATCTGCTTCAGCTGTCGCCGAGCAGCCAGGAAGATCCGCAAGTAGACACCCAGCATGAGCAGCAGGGGCACCAGGACACAAGCAAAGAAGTTGTAGTACACCATGTAGTTCATGGGAACCACATCCTCGAAGAGACAGGCTACCTGGCCCTCCCCACAGCCCTGTGAGTGGTTTTTGCCCTCCTTCGGCTGGCTGCAGTTGTTCCAGCCCAACATGGGAGTCAAGCCAATGGCAAATGACAGCACCCAGCAGACTGCAATGATGCCTTTGGCCCTTGTGCCAGTCACCAAGCCATTGTACCTGGGGAAAGGAGACCAGCATCAGATGTCTGAGAAACCAAGACAAGGAGAGGCTAAGAGTCAGAAACCCAGAGAGGCACCTGGGCCTGATCTGCTGACTGTAAGGTTTTGGACCACTCACTTCCTGCCTCCTAGCCTCACTATCCTCCTCTGTTCAGTGGAGGCCCAAGCCCTTGCCTTTTCCCACAGCAGGAAACAGGAGAGCCGGCCCCCTGGAAAGGAAACCACTGCATAGACATTCAGATGGTTACCAAATAGTATTAAAAGTAGTCCTCAGACTCCGTTCTCTTTGAGGGACTTAATAAGTGAGAGAACTTATCACCTCCACGTTAGTCTTAGTTGATGCTAGAGTAAGCTTTCCTTAAAAGTGGGAATAAGCCAGGAGGGTACACTCATTGGCCGGGGGCAGAACCAGCCACATCAGACTTGTAGGCGATTCATGTCTCCTGTACTCCATGCTCTTCCTTCCCCACTTGACATAGGGTCTCCAGAAAGCCCTCAAGGAGAGGTGGCACAGAGGGGAGGAGGGGGTCGTGGAGGTCCTGGGTCAAATACCCTCTCTGCCTTCCAGATTCACCCACAGCCCTCTGGAGAGACATGAGATTGATATGTCTTAACATTTAACAGGAAAGAATTGCATGAGGTACTGAGGTCCAAGGAGGAAAAGTAATCTGACTGAAATCACTCAGGACTAAACAGCCAGATGCAGTCCCAGACTCCAAGTGTGACCTGATCTGCCAGCCAGAAAGCTGGCCCCAAGTCCATAGAAAAGGTGGCATAGATGTTTTTTTTTAGAGAGAGAGAGAATCTTAAGTCTTTTTTTTTCTTTTTTTAGAGAGAGACACACACACACACACACACACACAAGCTGGGGAGAGGGGCAGAAGGGGAGAGAGAATCTTAAGCAGGCTTCACACTCAGTGCGGGGTCATGCCCTGAGCCAAAATCAAGAGTCAGACACTCAACCAACTGAGCCAACCAGATGCTCCGGTGGCATAGATTTTACTTAAAGAATGGGCAATCAAAAAATTATCTCTGACTGAAGAAGGTGACCTCAGTGATCTCTGAGAGATAACCATTTGTTTAATGGTTTTGATTCTGGTAACACCAGACTGCCCTCCCCTCTACCTGGTAAACCCTATCCATCCTTTATGTTCAGGCTAGATACCTTCCCAAAGAAGTTTTCTACCCAAGTGCACCAAATCCCTACTCCATCTGGGCCCCTGAGGTAGAGGGCCCCTTTGGGACAGGGCTTTCCTGCATCCATCACTGTACTGCCAGCACTAAGAAAGCGACACACAGCAGGTGCCAAGGAAAAATGTGCTTTACTTAATTTCCAGAATTGGAAGCATCCACAGAAACTAGTCCATGGGTGGCAAACATGGGCCTACAGGTAACAAATGTGTGAGGCAGGCTGGCAGGGCATTTATTGTCTGTATAAGAGACAGTTGACGCTGCTCAGCCCCTGGCCGCTTATGCACAATGTGCTTCCAGTGCTGCCAGACCTCAGACGGGGCTGAGGAGCTGATTTTCTAGGTGAAATCGCCTGTGGTTTAAATTTTGTCAACAAATTCAAATAAAGGGGGATAAAGTCTTGTGGCCTCTGACCTCTTATCTAATCCAACTGCCTCATTTTATAGATGGAAAAACTGAAGCCTAAGGAGAGGAATGGACTTGCCATGGACATTTCAGGAGCCCAGAGGCAACTCGGGCCAAGGTAAGTCTGTCAGTTCTGAATCTATGTCAGTTTTGAATCCAAAGAATAACTGGACAGGGCCACTCCCAGGAACCCCTCAGCCCCATTTAGCAGGGGCTTGGGTGCTTGCAACAGGAGGAGGGTCATGGACTTGCTCACTTCCACCAAGCCACAGAGAGCCTACATGGCCCTGTTTCCTATTCTGGAGCCTCAAACACAAAGTCTTAGGTTTTTTCTTTTTCTTTCTTTTTCCATTTAATACTTACACAGCACTTGCTGTGTGCCGGGCACTGTTTTTGTACTCTGCTAATTATAATTTATATAATCTTATTAAATAGGAAGCTATTTTAATGTTGGTATTTTTCCTGAGAAAAGGGTATCCCTCCCTGAGTTCCAGTGCTAGTGCATTCCTGTTTTGCCATGTTCTGTCACTCTGCATCTCTGAGCCTCAGTTTCCTCATTTGCAAAATGGAACTAAGAATCCAGGGCCTGTGAGCACAGTCCCATGAGGGCAGAATGTATAATCCGTGGGTGGGAATTACAGGGGGGTGGACTGTGAATTGGGGTAAGTAAGAACTTCTCAGCTAAGCTGTTCACACAAGAAATGGGCTGCCTCAGGCAAAGTGAGCTTCCTATCATTTGAGGCAACCAAGCAGGAGCAGATGGTGTAGAGATGGTGTAGAGGACCCTGGAAGCCACCTGCTTTGGGGGTTTTCAAATTGTCCTCTAGCAGCTGACCTTCTTGCCCGCATTCCCAGGCAATCACAGAAGGAGGCTGCTGAGGAAGGGAGGCAGCTTAATATTCACTGAATGAATGAGTTGGTGGGGACACCCAGGCCCAGACCAAAGGCTTCCGGGGACAGTTTGAAAATCCCTGGTCTGTCCAGTTGTCTGCTTTTATGGACAAGGAAACCCATGAGCAGAAGTCTGGCACTGCATTTTAAAAAGAAAACCCCTTGTGAGGACAGAAACAAACATACATTAATAGCACTTGACTATGCCTGCAAAGAATATCTCTGGGCAGATTCTCAACACTGCCTTCCAGGAAGATAATTGAAGGTAGGGCGGTGGACAAAAGGGACAGTTTTTCACCATATACTCTGTTGTTCTTTTTTAATGTTTTAGTATGTGCAGGTAATAACTTATTAAACACACACACACACACACACACACACACACACACACAGAAACATCAAACAGATTAGTTTTATTATTCAGAAGAAAAGCCTTTAGGCTGAGCGCTCTGGACCCAGGCCCCTGGGGAACTGGAACAGCATTAGGGCCCAAATAGAACAACAGCCAAGCCATAGCCTGGCCCAGGGGCATCCCCTTGGGCTATGTCTCTGACTTATGGCAATCACATCTTGACCTCCTGGGGCCCAGACACACTGTCCAGTGGAAGGGGTGCCAGAGGTATCCAGCACAACAACACTCTGCCATTTGGGGGAGCCCAGAGGTGTCACAGGAAGCAGGTGCCAGAGTGCTGCCTGCCACATTTGGAGGTGCCTTTGTATCCCTGCATCTTTCAGCTCACAGGTGCCCCTTCCTGGGGACTTCCCATCACCCATGTTGGAGACTCATTCTATGATCCAAGAATACCACCCACAATTCTAAGTGGGGCTTCATGTGCATTTTCCTTACACTGAGAGAAGGCGGAGCTTTCCTAAGTTGTCTAAAGGAGCCAGTGATCTAAGAACTGAACACCCATTGATGCATGGGTGAAACCCAAACTCCCTTCTGAGCATAGGCAGGCCTGAGCTAGCCTCACACCCTCCCTGCCCTCCTGTTCTTCTGTCTCTGTCACTTCTCCTGTTCCAAGGCCCACATGGTCCTTCCTTCTTTGTGGCCTTTGTCTAGGCTTGGCCTACTCATATCCATCCTGCAAGACCCATCCAGAGTTACCTCCTCCTGGGAGCCCTGATCCTACCCTCTTTACAAGCCAGGGGGTTTTTGTCCCCAGGCAGTGATTCACCACATACAATTCAGGTCTTTGCATCAACTGCTGCCCCACATGTAGTCCGTTTCCCAAGGAGAGCGAGCACTCACCAGGGGTTAATAATGTGAGAGGCAGGAGACAAGGGGCGCAGAAGTCCCCTAGGATATGAAAACCTTTGTCTCTCACTCTGGGCTTTCTGTCTTCCTCCAGGGACACCAAGAGCTCCCATCTCTGCCTTTGGCCAGGCTGCTTCTCACTGGATTCCTGACTAGGCCCTGCCCTAGCCCACCAAAGGTCCCTGTACTTGGGAAGGAGCACAGATTTTTCTGAAACTGAATCCTTTTAACAAAAGAAAGAGAGATGGGGAGAAAGGAAAGGAAGAAGGAAAGAAGGAGAGAGAAATAAATTAATGGTGAGTGATGCAGGCCTAGGGCTAGGCATCCAGGGCAGCAGTCAGAGAATGGACACCTCAGAGTAGCCAAATGGACCTCCAGAGTGGAGCAGGAAACAGCATGCAGAGGCAGCGAGATTCCCAGCTGGCAGGGAATGTGGGGGAGGCAGAAAAGGCAGCCTGAGTCAGGCAGTGGCTCCAGATCTGCCAGGAGCTCTGGGTTCTCATTTGCCTTCACGTCATTCCCTCTTGTACCCATCTTGCTCTCAGGAGCCCCTACCTGGACACCTTTGTGCACCTTGCTGTCCCCAGCCCAGGGCCCTTGAGGAATAGGTAAGTGGAAAGACCCAAGGGAGTCTGGAACTTTGTGAAGGGCCCTGATGTCCCCCAAGTCACGAGAGACTTTTCTTTCTCCTGCTGTAGCCTCCCCATGAGTAACACAGGGTCATCACGTCTTCCCTGGCCACAGTGCTAGGCTGTGAAGATCAAAGGAGAAACTGTGCTAACATCCTTGGGCAACTGTGAAGCTCTCTGCCTGAGGTAGGAGATAAGTACCATCATCATCATCCCTAATGGCTCCCAGATCCAAGAGATCCAGGCTGACCCCTCCAAGGCTTTATCAAGCAATGCTCAAACAGCCAAGTCTCGGTGGAACTAGGTCCTGCTCTGAAGATCATAGGTATTGGTGATACAGATGGGGCAGGGCAGGTCCAGGATCCATTCTGAATCTCCAGCAGCTCAAGAATGGGCTGAATCCCCACTTGCTCCATCCCACCAACCTTCCCACCCAGGGGCCTCACCACACCCATCTGCTCACTGGACCCTCACAACACCTTTGTGAGCTCAGAAGGACAGAAAGGCCTATCCCCTTTTATAGATGAGGACATGGGCCCGGGGAGAGACAGCTGACTTTTTATGGTCACACAGCACGTCCCATCCTCCTACATCAGGAATCATTCTCTTGACTCTTAACAGAGAGATAAGAAAAAGAAGCCAAGACCCTTGCAACTGAGCCCTGATCTCTCCTTAGGATGCCGTTGCCCTTTGAATCAGGGAAGGAAGTGAAAGTGAGGTCTCTGCTTCCCCACTGAATGTTCCTACCAGGGCTGGCCCAGGCCCAGCCCATGCTCAGCTTGGCTCCTTAAGTAGACACCAATTCTCTGCCTTCTAGTCCACCTGGGACCCCGTGTTCTGAGCGTTCCTCAGGGAGCCTGGACTCTGAACTCTGCTCTGCACTATCAGACTAGTCCTATATTAAGACTGGCTAGAGTCTCCTCTTTGGCAAGAGTCCTAGGCTCTCCTGAGACTAGAGCGTCCTATAGGGCCACGTGGGGCCCTTCACTTGAGCAGCATGATGAGGGTGCCTTCTTCCCCCTTAGAGCCCAGGTGACAGGAGTGGCCACCTACTCCTGGGAGTAGGTCTGGGAGACCAGGGCTGCCCTGTTCCCCAAAGACTGGAGTCACAGTGGGTGACAGGTCACATTTCTTCCTAGGCCTAGTCCCAACTGTGCTACCAACTCATTGTGTGGCCCTGAGGGCTGGCTCCCTTTTCTGAGCCTCATTTTTCCATCTAGAAGATGAGAGGAAATGACCTCTAAGGGCCCCCTTGGTTTGACACTCTAAATTTCCATTTGCTCATTGAGCCTGCTCCTCTTTCCAGCTAGGGTGCACTCTGCCAGCATGGGGCTGCTGAGGGTTACTCTGGAGGCAGGCACTTCACTTGTTTGGGAGAATTCACTACAGGGCCAGGTACCCTGGTCCTCTGAGACCTCCCTCAGGGTCTGCAACCACCCAGGCTGTGGAACCCAGCTCCCAGATAGAGGGTCAAGGAGGTGGGGCAGGAGGTTCTCCTGCCCCTCACCACTCCCCCCACCTTGGGGGGAGGAGAGAGGGAGGGACCTACTTCCTAGTTTCATCTGTGGTAGGTGGAGGCCACGTTAAATAAACTCAGCCTCGGGAAAGTCTTCATTTACACAATACATGGCTGAAGTCACTTCACAAAAACCCCTTTCCACTAGCTGAGCACACAGGCTGTCTCTAAGACCATCAGTACTTGCTGACCTGAGGAGCACAGAATTTGCATATAGGTCTAAGTGACTCACTGTGGCATTCAGCCAAGTCACTTCCCCTCTCTGGGTCATTTTCCTAATGTCCACACTGTGTGGCTGGCCCAGAGGAGTTAGGGCAGGCAGGCAGGCGGGTTTCTGGTTCTGAGGGCCTGTGGTTTCCCGTGGTGCCCTGCCCCGCCCCAGCATCATGCTGTGTGAGAAAATGGCCCAGATGCACCACCCAGGCCTGGGCCACACACATCTGCCATAGTCAAAGAGCAGCAGCCTCAACCAAATAGGCTGGGGAAGACTGGGGAGGGCCAGGGTGCCTTGTGCCCACAGGGATCAGCTAGATTGGCATGATTTCTGGCCATGTGCCAAGCCCTGGGCAGCCCCAGACTGAGCCCCATGACCCTGTCCTCAGCTCAACACACAGACATCACAGACTAAATCCTAACCCCAGGTTCACCCTGGCCCTGGCTTGGCGCAGACCAGACCTTGGTACAGGCAGCCTTTTCACAGATGTGAACCTCAGCATGAGGCATGCCAGAGAAGAGAATATGGGCAGCCCACCGCCCACAGCCCCCAGCTCACCGGAGTGGGATGCGGATGGCGATGTAGCGGTCAATGGCGATGGCCAGGAGGCTGAAGATGGAGCTCTGCGTGAGGACCAGGACAAAGCAGGCGAAGAAGAGGCAATTATGGCAGGCAGCACAGAACCCTGTGCTGATGGTGATGGCGAAGGGGATAGCGAGGACTCCCACAGCAATGTCGGCTGCCGCCAGTGACACCACAAAGTAGTTGGTGACGTTCTGTAGGTTGCTGTTCAGCCACACAGCCCAGCACACCAGCACATTGCCGAGGATGGCCAGCACAGCAATTGCCAGCTCCACCATGATGTACACCCAGGAGCCCATGGTGGGCATGGCCGCAGACAGGCAGGGTCAGCAAGGACACGGGCCAGGCCAGCTCACGGTCCATAGCTGCAGTGCAGCTGGCCCTGCCCAGGCCCCTGAGCCCCTTCTTCACAGGAGCCAAGAGCGTCCCTGCAGGCAAGCGGGGGGGGGGGGGGGGGGGGGGGCTCCCCAAGGGCTGTTTCAGAGCCAACTCTGAGTCTCCAGAAACCAGACCCTCTTCAGGGGCTCCGGCAGCATCTTGGCTCAGCTCGGCTTCACAGTCCCCGAGGCACCTGCCAAGGGAGAAGCCTTGTGAGGAGCTGGACCATGGGCAGAGAGGGAAAAGCTGAAGATTCCCAGAGGTAGCCCTCAGCCCCAGCTTACCAATGCCCTCCCTGCAGGCCAGGCATTAGCCTGAGAACAGCCCACTGTGCCCTGCCCCTCCCACCCTGGACACAGAGGGCTGGGGGTCAGCCTCAGTCCTTGTTTTTTCTAGGGGAGCCAGGAATCTTTTTAAAGTTAAGTCACTTGTGTTTGGCTTACCATGCTCGGCTTCTCAAGCCTTTTGTGGCAGCCCTGCCAGTCTCCTGAGTCCCTGAGCTCACTGCCACCCCCATGACCTTTCCAGAAAGGCCCCCTCACCCCCTTGGACTCTCCCAGGTCCACCTACCTTCTCTCTCAGCCAGCTTCAGTCTGCTCCATCCCCCAAGAGCTCTTCCTGGGAACTACCAGCACCTGCCTAAGCTGCTAGGTTAAGGAGCAGGCCTAGAGTTCCAATCTGGAAGGACCTGGGTGGTCCATCTTGTCCTGTCTTCCACTGCTGGCAGCTAAGCCCCCCTGCCCTTGCTGGTGATGCTGCACAGTGTGGAGGAGCAGTCACCAAGGGAGCCGCTCCTCAGCAGCCCCTGCCCAGCCCCTGACTGCACACCTCTTAGACAAAGAGACCACTCACCTCCCCCCCTCCTCCCACGCCCGCTCCCCAACCTGCTCCTCTGCCTGGCTGATGCCAGGACAGACTGAATTCAGTTTGGTGCTGTGCAGAAGGCAGGGTGCTCAGCCAGGACTTCCTGGGGAACTGCAGGCAAGGATGTTTTTTTCTTTTCTAGGCCTCAGTTTCCTCATTGATACAGTGAGGAGATTGGACCCCAGATAGCCTCTGGGGGTCATTTCAGCTCTCACTCATGATTCTATGAGAAGGAAATAAACAGATCTTAAAGGGCTCCCCCAGAGTGAAAATGTCATAGAAATGTAAGGAATTGCTGACCCTCCTGAGAAGCACAAGCAGTAGAGGTCTTGGTTTCCCCCAGCCCAAACCCCTAGTGTTCACCCTTGAGCTTGTGAAATGGTCTCCATATCCCCTACCAGCCTAGGGGCCCCTCCCCACAGCCTCTGCCCCCACCTTATCATGCTTACATGTGCTGCCCAGTGGTGTCCCCTCATGCCAAGTCAACCTACTCCCCCCGTTCTGGGCCTTCACGGGGCCCTAGGTGCACATGGGCGGCAACTGCTGCCTGCATGGAGACAAGAGGCCCAAAGCTGCCCTTCAGCTTCCCACACTTGGGCTCAGGAAACTGCATCCTCCCTCACTCCTCCAGGACACAAGGGATAGAGCAGGGCTGGTGATCTTGGGAGAAGGTCACTCGTGGTCCCTGGCCATGTTCAAGGGGCCAGGCTGCAACAGATGAACACCAAGTTTCCTTCTGACTCCTGTGTGCTTCAGGCGGCTGGAACTATATCCAAGGGGTATTCCCTATGCCCACTAGGAGGCTCCAATGGAGCACGCAACACCAGGAAGCAGGACAGAGAAGAGGAGGCAAAGTGCTTGAAAAATGGGGGGGTTCTTGCAGCCAGCCCAATGGCTTCTCTCAGGCCTGGCAGGGGCCCACCACCAAGAGACCATGAATGAATCTCAGGGCCCTGCTATACACAGGGTACTTGCCAGCCAGCTGCTCATAAAGCATGTCACTGGCAGAGGAGGATCAGACCAAGTCTCCTGGTGCTATCCCTGGCCACAGAGTGTCCCTTGGTGCTCCTGGCCTATAGCCTAAGACAGCATTCACCAGGGACCCCCCCCTACCCCACCCCCAGCTGCAGAAGCCGTGTGTCTAGGGTCTTGTTTTTATTCTCCAGAAGGGAAGTGACAGGCCCTGAACTACTTCCCTCCTAGGGGCCTCCCAGGCCCAGCACTAGCAGCAGGCCACTGTCCAGGCCAAGGGAGCCTTAGGGAACCCTACCTCCTCCTACCAGTGAGCCGCCTGCTCTCCTAGCCGCCTAACCATCACCTGCCACCCTTCTTACCCAGACTTCAACCTCTCCAGGGGAATTTGCATTCAGAGGCACCACAGCCTCTGCCAATCAGACCAACCCAGGCTATAAGCATGACTTGGCCCCAGACCACTGTCCAGATTCAGAGGGCACCTGGCCTGGGGGAAGACGAGGTGGGATCACCAACAATCCACCTAACCCAAATACGTATCACATTTCTGTGGAGCCAGGCTGTCCTGCCCCAATGCCCTGAGCCCTAATGATGGGGTCACACCACCAACACCCGTCCTGGATGCCAGGCTGCCTCCATGAGCCAGGCTGCCTGGAGTGGAAGGACCTTCAAGGGGCCTAACCCAGCCCTCTGTTAGGTGAGGCTCTCTTGGCAGCCCTGGGTACCTGCCTACATATGCCCAGTCCTCAGGGTCTCCCTGCCACCACCCTCTGTGCCATGGGCCCTCATGTTGAACAGCACCTGGGACCAACACTCTTCCTGACTAAACTGAAGCTACCTTTCTACTGCCCACCATGCCTGGGGCACCTTCCCAATCTCACTGGATGCAATGGATCTTAGTGGTCACCGATCCTCCTACCCACATCAGTCTTGCAAGGGGCTAAAGGCACACCTAATGCCCTTGAGTCCTAAAAGGCTGCCTCCTTGCACATCTAGTTGCCCATCTGCCCTTCCTACAGCATTTCTGCCGGCTCTTCTAGCTGCTGCCAGCACATCCTGGGGTGAGACTGGCCTGGCCCCACAGGAAACCTGGGCATCTGTCAAACCAGAGTGCTGGCCCCAAGCAGCTTAGCTGCTGCTCTCAACTCTCACTGCCCTCATCAGTGGAGCTCAAGGCACCAGGGGGCAGACAAGGCAGGGAGAAGGCTGCACAGCCTCCTACTGGAGCTATTTTGTGGGAAGGTTGGGAGCTTCCCAGCCATAGGTGGGCAAATCAGTCTGGGAGGTGGGGGCATCCTAACTTGTGGCCTTTGCCAGACGTTCATGGTATAAATGCTCCCCATATGGCCAATTTCAAGCTACTAACGTATGTATCACTGACAGGAAATGGCAATTAACACAACTCGAGAGACCCTATGCCACTAGGTTCCAGCCGCCACTAAGCCACCACATCCTGCGCTCTCCCTGGATGCCGAGACTCTACGCAGACCTTCTTAGCTTGTGCAGCCTGCTTGGGAGCTCATGATGTGAGGGCACAGGGACATTGCGGTCATCTGTGTTCTCACTGGCCCCATGAGCCCCATTTTACAGATGAGGAAGCTAAGTCCCAAAGAGATTAACAACCTCTCCCAGTCTTACAGATACCAAGAGCTTAAAAGGGTGAAATAGAGCGGAGGGAAATGCCCATAATAAACACAGAAGCAGGAAGATTTCTTGGGGCCTGCTGGCCCCTCTCTGCTTCCCTCCCTTCTGAGGCCTCCTAGAGTGACAGGAAGGTTGGAGGCCCAAGGGGAGGGGGCCAGGGGCGGAGCCAGGATCTGACAATTTCCTATCCCTCTCTGCTGACTCTAATTCTTGAGTCATTTGTTGCTAGCCAGGAGGGGAAATTAAATGTTAATAATGTAATATTTCCCTGTGATTATCCTTCTTTGGGGACAGGGCAGAGGGCAGAAGCTGTCCCATATAAACTAGAGACACATGTTGGGGAATGTGCATGATAAGCCTTGAAAGGACAGCTCCCAGGATTCCCAGGAGTCAGACTCAAAACTGCTGCTTCTTCTGGCCTTCTTATCCCCACCAACCTGGCCATTTTAATTAAAACTCCATTTAATCAAAACCCACATATTTCCTGGCCCACTTCTGGCTCCTTGTAAGTCAGACTAGTGAGGCTTTCTGTACACATGCCTAGATGGTGGCTGTACACCCCAGAGCCTGCCTTCCAGGCAGGACCCTGCACCTCTGCTCCTGGGTGCTGCTAAGGGCAATAAACTAAGCCAAGTGTAGGGACTCAGACCTGGCATAACCATGCTTGGCCCATTCCTGGGCTCCAGAATCCTAACCTGTGTCTCTTCCACTACTTCCTCATAGCAAATGTTATACAAATGCCTACCCTGTGCCATGCAGCATCCCAACTGCTGGATCACAGGGAGCTCTGTGCCACGTGCTACTGAGCCTGGCCTTAGCAAGGTCCTGAGCCTACAGCAGGGGACCTGGAAGGAGGAACTGTCCCAGGAGAGTGTGCTGAGAGCCAGCTGCTGCCTTAGTGTGCAGGTCACTCCCTGTCTCCAGGGCCTCCATTCCCACTTAAGATGACCCTGTAAGCCACAATTTCAAAGCACAGGAGAAAAGCTCAAGCTAAGAAAGATAAAGCAGCAGCACCCTGAATATGGAGTTTCATTCATTCTGGAAGAGGTGAAGGTCATAATCTAATAATGTTTTTCAAAGACATTTAGGGTCTTCAAAGAGATGAAAAAAGGAATAGCACCCATAAACAAGAAGGAGAACTTATGGCTTGACTGGCAAAAGCGAAACAAGAACAGGTGAATGAATATGAGCAAGAAAGAATATAAGGTCCCCAAAATGAAAAGTCAAGGGAATGAGAAAGAGAACACCATCAACACGATGCACTTCAAGCATGTACACAATTGAAGAGACAACTGGGGATCTGAGGAATGATCAGCCCTGAGGTATTATCACAGGAACTTCACAAAGACACGAAGCCCAGCAGGAGATACAGTTGAGAGACACAGAAGGTAAATTGAGAAAGAAGTATGGACATCTGTCTAATGGGAGCTCAGTGAGCGTGCAGAGAGCAACAAGGAAAGAAGAAATAGCTAGACAGGCAGCTTAGCTCCTGCTGCCAACCACACGCCCTCCGCTAGCTCTGTCATGACTGGTGTTTGGAGTGGCCCAAGCCTGGGCACAAGCCTCCCAGAACCCCAGGGCCCTGGGACCTACCAAGCCCCATCAACTGGAGTGGGACCAGTGTCTTCCGGTGCTGCCTGGAGGAAAGCCGTGGAGCACCGGTGCCTCTTGCCTCCCCACTTCCCTCCCTGCAGGATAACTTCAGGAACATGGTGCAGGCTCGGCCCAAAGTATCAGGCAGGCATCCAGTGGTACCCCCTCTCCCACAGGCCCTCCATGTGGCTGCTGTTCTCAGCTCTGGGAGGGCAGGATGTGTGCAGGAACCAGCCGGGTGGAGAGCCAGTTCCCTGCACTGAGTCTAGCCCCCCTAGAGCAGCCTCCACAGCACCAGCCCCTGGGGCCACAGGGCCTTGCCACAGCTCCTTTCTCCCCACAGGGGGCCCAGAGTTCGTCTGCCATCCCCGAATGTCCAGGCCAGGTACTGGAGAGACTGCATCTTCCCAGCCTGAGGTGGCCATTCACCCTCTCTGGGCTGAGCAGCACCAGCCCCTGCCCAGCCCTCTCTGCTGCATCTGATGGCCTCCCTCCAAGAGGTCACCCCACACACAAGGTGCTGGGTGCCCACTCTGTGGTGGAAGGAGCTCAGGTGGGATCCCACTCCTGCTCCATCCCACATTCCTT